CAGGCTGATATCTTAGGAGTCATGACAGTCACTGTAGACTTTTATCTGAAATTGTGTCCATTTGTGCACTCTTGTTAGGCTGATGTCTCCTGGGCCATGACTATCAACTTTTATTGCTAATTGTGTCCATATGTTCACTCATCATGCTCTTTGCTGGCCAATATCTCTGTTATACAACTGTCACAAAATAGAATGTATTGTGATCAGGGGTTACGATACCAGTCAAAGTGGGCGAAAAAGTCAAAAAGTCGCCAGAGAAGAGTAAACTTCACCTTCTTCTGTTATGAAATCGAAAACGACTTTGCCCTCAGATTTTTCGGACATAATATGACCATAGATTACGACTTTGAGATACCCTCTCCATGTAGCCAGTAAGCTCTGGCACTGCTGTAACCCAAGCCAAATGTATTTACCTAGTGTTGATACCAATCAGCTTATGTCGACAAAGAAATTCTTGCACATTCACATGCAAATTTTAATAGCTAACTGACCATTAACCCTTTTCCAGAGCAAGGTATCACTGCTTGATTTCATGAAGTTGGGCCTGCTGTGCTATGATGAAAAGATGCCAATTTCTGTTTTGAAATTAAAACATCAAAATGCAAATAGTAATTTGCTTTTAAAAATATGTTTGGTGAAGAGCAGTTTCTAATTTATATCCTATTTTTAATAAATGGAGATTTTAACATCCGTATTTGCGTATTTTCTGTATAAAACCAGTTTGAAACCGTAAATGAAATTTAATGGCGGACATCGTTGCGTATTTGATATATCACTTCATTAAACTGTGAAAATACGAAAAATATATATAGTAATGAAGTTAATAATATTTAACCAATCCAGTTCATTATTACCAGTAGGTAGACAGACCATAAATATGCAGAACCTTTAATGGGTTTTTGTAACGAAGCAAGAAAGTGTGTAGTTCGAGATCCCCCCCGGTCTAATTATATAGATGCACTCGCTCTGTGCACAGGAGTCTGCAGTTTTATCAATAAAGCACGACAAAATTTCTGACTACATGAAATCACCTTAACAGTATTATACAATAAATATAAAATATAAATATAAATATTTATTGTATAATACCGTTAAGGTGATTTCATGTAGTCAGAAATTTTGTCGTGCTTTATTGATATTTATTGTATAATACCGTTAAGGTGATTTCATGTAGTCAGAAATTTTGTCGTGCTTTATTGATAAACTGCATATTTATTGTATAATACCGTTAAGGTGATTTCATGTAGTCAGAAATTTCATCATGCTTTATTGATAAAACTGCAGACTCCTGTGCTCTGTGCAAGACATATTCTTGGATTTTTGGTTGGGGGTAAAAAAAATAGGGTCCAGTTTAGTTATATATCGATTTTAGTGCTTTAGTTTGTTGTTTATGAATAGTTACATTAATGTTTTATCGGGAACAATGAAATCAGGACGAACAGTGTGGTTTGAAGTCACCTGTGCATTTATTCCTATGTACATGTATTAGGGGCTGTTTCAAAGAATGCTATAAATCTTTTTGACTGCAATTGCACACAAAACTTAAGAAAAATAATATATTTAAGTGGTAGTTTATTAAGCATTTTTACCAACTTGCATTTACAAAGCTCTAATCTTGTTACTTCTATCAGTGAAATTAATTGCAATGTATAGCTTCATATGTGATTTTTAAGTCATACAGCCAAAATACACTGCATTTATTTCAGTTTAAAAACACTTATACTAAGTATGAATAGAATGGGCATGAATGTAATTTTTTATACTCGTACAAAAAATAGATATTCACAACTAACAAATATTTTTCAACTTGAAAATAAGGCATTGCTTAAAACTATTAAGAGCACTTCATTAAAATAAGATAATGCATCTGTGTGTGTGTGTGTGTGTATGTGTGTGAGTGTGTATCGTGGTGTTTATTGTTTTGGTCTCACTTCTCCCTGATTAACTCCCACTCCTCCCTGTTTAGCTCCCACTTCTCCCTGTTCTGACCAAAAGGAGAAGTCACTTCTCCCTACAATTTAAGTGTAGCTTGACCTCTGGTGATATCCATCCGTCCTTTATTACCATGCACAGTAACTTGCGTTGTCCATCATAATGTTATCAGATTTTGTGGATGGCTTGCACAAGGTGTAAGGAAGAACTTTTGGAATAAAAAAAGCTCAGTGGTCAACATTACTGACTGAAAGAAAAAGATGTGGTTTCTGCATAATAACTATAGTTGTCCACCATCTGCCAAACTTTGTGAATGGCTTACACATGATGTATGGAATGATTCTATTGATTTTGTAGTCAAAGATCAAGGTTGCCATGACAGACAAAGTAAACTAGTTTCTGCATAAAAATTCTTGTACCACTACATTTGCCAGACTTTTGTAGATGACTTACAATGGGTGTAATGAAGAACCCTATCAGTAGCAGCATCCAAGGTTCAAAAGGTGACTGACTGAAAGAAGAAATATGGTTTTCATGCACTCTCTTGAGTTATCCATCCTGTACATTATAAAGTCAGGATTGCTTGCACTTGGGGTAAAGAAGACTCTCATTGATTCAGGAGTTGAAGGTCAAAGTCACTTTGACGAAAAGAATAAAATTACTTTTGCAGAATAACTTGAAGTCCCCACCATCTATAGTAATCATAGTTTTGAATTGTTATGCATCAAATTAGTTTAACTGGTTACCACTCAGAAAGCCTCATTTCCACTCTGATTCTATCAGACTTCGAATGGAAGCCAATTGCAGCATCATCTCAAATAGGTTTGATTGACACGTGTGATTCCTTGAGCTTAATACTATATTATTTAGTTGATTGTGCTCCAGGTAAATGGACTTATTAAGATCATGGATGAGAACAATTATGAGCAAGATTCATTTATATAGTACTTAGGTGATATTGCATCAGTGATTAGCTGAGTTGATCAATCAACATTGTTTCTGATTTAATAATATGTGGTAAATAGGCTTACAAGTACAGTATCTGATTTTGATAAGTCTTGTTAATTTGCCTAATATAGTCTAGTCAAGACATTTGGCTTGTTTTATTCCCAAACCGAAATTGCAAGCTCTTCATGCAAGCTTGCACAAACTTGTGCAAACTATATCTTCCAAGCTGGTATTTGGAACCTTGCGGCAATCTTGTGCAAGTCTGCACTGGAAAAAAGGCAAGCTTGTGCAAATCACATAAATATTGCAAGCTTGCACGTGCTTTCACAATCCTAAATATATACAAGCTTGTGCAAACTTATGCAAGGTTCATTGCTGTAAAAATATGGCATAAAAAATGATAGTACAAACAATTCAAGAATACTGTTCATGATAAAATTGTTGCATTTAAATTAGAGGGAGACTATATATAAAATAAATATAAAGAATTTCTAATATTTATTTGCAAATTTACACAATATAAAGTAGATGGATGATGGACAGGTGGACTATCACTTAATCGCTAATCAACCCAATACTTGTACCGCTAGCCAGACTGCCTGACTGGTGAACTGTATATAATATAATATAGCATAAGAAAAACCAATAGCGAAGTACTCTTAAACCCTTTAATACAACTATTTAGTATTTATAACACATTACATAAGTATTCATCTTTGGCATTCCTTGGATCTCACTATCCACTACATGAGGTTAGTGTATTAAGATAGTCAAGATGCATGCAGTATATATGAGGCAGAATCGCCAGTATGACTGATGTCAGGGCTGAATTGCCAGTATGACTGATGTCAGGGCTGAATTGGCAGTATGACTGATGTCAGGGCTGAATTGCCAGTATGACTGATGTCAGGGCTGAATTGCCAGCATGCCATATCTATGAGGCAGAATCACCAGTATGCCTGATTGCAGGTCCCTATCCAAGGCGGAATCGCCAATATGACTGATGTCAAGGCAGAATTGCTGATGTTTGACTGACCTAACTGTTAAAGCAGAATTGCTGCTGCATTGAGGTAGAGTCGCCAGATGCTGCAATAATTGTGAATGACTTGGAGAAGATAAGGCAAGAGTAGCCTGTTAGTATGAGGGGTCTGGTTGCCATCTCCAAAAATAGTGGAATTAGTATGCAGAAGGGAGGGATGTTAACAGAAGACCTGAAAGCGAAGGGTGAGCTAGATGTAACAGAACTGCAGGTGGCAGTTGGGTGGTGGAGGATACTCGACAAAAAAACTGTCCACTCTCAGCACTAATCACTTGTAAAGTGTAAAAAAATGGCCTTTTTTAGTAAAATGTTTTAATATAGTATTAAGAAAATATGAACTTCTTATAATTTTTTTTTGCTACTTTGTATTGTATGATGAAAAGCACATATCAGCAAATTTACATCAGATACTGCACTTACCAGACACTAAAACAGCTTTGACCATGGCTGTAATCAGGTTTTGTATTTTAAATTATCATAATATTTGTGGAATGAGAGTCCTGTTGTGCATATTACAAATGTGGTATCAGCTGAAATTACTAGCTTATAAAGATCATATTAAACAAGAATGTACTATAGAGTACTTTTATTGTAAGATCCAGTTTCAACTACACCAAAATTAGCTACCATTATTCACACAATTCTCAAATAAGATCTAACCCATGTTAGTCTTATTTGTATTTTAACATGCAAATTAGTTAAAACTTGCATGACCAATAGAACAAAATCTGAAAATCACATGAGTTGAATCCTATCCATTGTATTATGGAAACATTCCAGAAATTCTGACTGCTACACAGAAAGGCAAGCTCTTCAATCTGAAGGACATTGCAGGACCATTTTCTTGAATATGTGGAAAATCTTCACATTGTCTGCATGGCTTCAAAAACTTTTTACTTCACATCAATTCAGAATCCAGTTGAGGAAGGATGGCATCAGATAGTTACATTCCCCATTATTCTGTTAAAACTGTATGCTGTTAAATGAAAAACAAGAATGTTTGCTATTTTAATACACCGAACCTATTCTAAACAAATCCTCTCAGAATAAAATCCATCATCCTTCCCTTCTTCTTGTAGACAGCTCTGGTGGCCTAATGGTTAGAGTGTCCACCTCAGATATAGGAGGTTGTGGGTTTGATCCCCAGTCAAGTCATACCAAAGACTTACAAAAATGGTACTAACAGCTGCCATGCTTGATGCTCAGCAGTAAGAGGTTAGTGTTAGGACTGGTCAGCTTGGTGTCAGGATAATGTGACTGGGTAGAACATCATGATACATATCTGCGGCATGATGACATTACTATAAACTGCAACACTGCAGACATTGTAGCGATATGAGTGAAAAATTGTTAAAGCTACATTAAAAATCATAATCACATCACATCTTGTAGAGTCAGCAACATGTAACCTGGTCAAAATATTTGACTATTTACCTGTTTATAAAAGGCATTTCATTTAAGTTCAACATTATAAAAATATTTCATAAGTTATAGAAACTTAAGTGTTACACATAAATTGGTCATCCAGTAAAGAGATCCTAAATATTAGTTTTGCCATCTGTTTTGAAAAAGATATGACATCTTTCAAATGACTGGTATCTTACATCTTCAAACAGAAACCTGCAATGAAATTACTCGGTTGATATTTTGAGTTTTCTGAAATACTCATTTTTTTAAAAAATTAAATAAATTTTTAAAAATTAGATTAATACAGTGGACTGAATTTGTTTCAATTAAAGTTAGTTGCAAATAGGTAGTTGCCAAAATTTGATATGTGAGAAAAAAATTCCCTAAGAAAATCAGAAATGAAATTAAGATGCTTGCATGTAATTTCAAAATTCATTAACCTATTTTCAATAATTGACAACAATGCATCAAATTCTGCAGTTTGACAGGTACAGCAGTTAATAATAATAATCTGCAAAGTTGTCATTTCAATAATCATGTGGAGGAAGATTACAAAATCATCTCTGACATTTAATGCATTGTAAGCAAACACTGAGCAGCAATAATACCATAATAGAGATGAAACGTCCATCAAACTGCAGTCCAGTAAATGGGCAAAATGCTAATAATGTTTGATTTTACTCACCAGCACTATAACTCCATGATTTTAAATTTGTCTCTGGGATTCCATGATCAGCTGCTGCAAATGTATTGCTACTACTTGCAGTAAAATTTTCTGAATTTATGAACTAAATTGTGACAGTCAATTTTGAAAATGGAGCACCTTTGAAACTGAGGCTGGCATATGTTTTTGGCACTGGGTATGTTATGGTGGTGCTCTACAGTTTCATATTTAGCATAGGGTTAGAATTTTAAAGAAAAAGAATTTCCCTGGGTTTCCTCACTAGTTATATTGGCTATTTAAAACAGACTATGTATATCTTATGTATTGTTCAAAGAACCTTTAATTCCCTTTATTTTGGTGTAATATGGGTTATAGAGTATACACCTTGGCCTTACTCCAGATGTATACTTTTCAAAAATGTCCACTTGCTCATTTTCACTTCCTCAACTTCAAAAAGTAAATTGTAATAAAAAGAGCCAATAATTTTTTTTTTACATTTGATATATGTGGTAATTCATTCATTGCACTTTCAGAAGCTGGTATTGTCTAGTCTGGCAAAATTAATTTTCTCTATTTTAATAGCTGCCAAAGATAGTGTACTATAGACAAATTCAGATTGACTTTTGGAGCACAAGGAAGCAGTCATTTTAATTAGAAGTGCGCTAAGATCATTTACACTTTCCAAAAGTACAATATCCAAAGAAATGTCAGCAATATTACATGAAAGTAGCATAGAGGTATACCAACATTCTCTCCACTGTGCATGTTTTAAGTGCAAACAACTTCACCTTACAGACATCACTCTCTCAAAAGTACATACTACCTCGTGAGAGCCACCTTTTATGTAGACTCCGATTTGTAAACAAGTTTCAAGACTGAAAACAAGGGGGAAAATGTTTTTGATGTCTCCATGCCAAATTAGATCTCTGTCACGGAAAACCACATTTTATTTTACATAATTTTATTATTTGATTTCTTTTTTTTAATAAGGCAAAATTTATGAACCTTAGAATATTCTGGTAGATAGGTCTCTCTCTCTCTCTCTCTCTCTCTCTCTCTCTCTCTCTCTCTCTTTCTCAAAAAAAAAAAATATAAATAATTATATACAATTTAAGCTTTTAATTTGTATGACAAGTAATGCCAGTGATAACAGGGACACATACTTGATGATATGCCAATGCATTCAGAACACTAGATTTTTTATCAATAATGGCTCTTTTTCCCCCCTTTTTTGTTTAAAAAATTCTCATTATTTAAGTACTGATATTGTTTGGAAATAACAGGAGATAAAATCATAATCATTTACTTGTATCTGTAAATGATTAAGTTATTATTATTATTATTATTATTATTATTATTATTATTATTATTATTATTATTATTATTATTATTATTATTATTATTATTATTATTATTATTATTATTAAATATTGATATTTACTACATTAAAAATATACAAATTTGGTAATATTGAATATAACAAAATGTAATTGTTGGAATTTAAATAATCCACATTATTAAATTAAATTATTAAATTACTGAGGTCACCATACAATTATTTATTGCACATTTGCTATCTGAAATTGTTATTTGCAGTTTATATGCATATAACAGGCAATGAACAAAATTTTTCGAAGAAACTGAGTCTGAAAATATGTGGAAGCTTGTGCTTGTTATAAGCAAGCAAATTGTGCAAGCTTGCACAATCTTGTGTTAGCTTGTGTAAGCCTGTGCAAGCTTGCAGATGCTGGTAAGAAATGGTGCCATGCTTGCTCAAGCTAACAAATATTTATTTGCATGCTTATTTTGATGATACAAGCTTGCAACAACCTTGTGCCAAGCTTGGCAATTTAACCTCAAGGATGCATTTTGGTTTGGGTTAAGAGCAAAACGTGTGCATATCTCTCATAGGATTTTGATTAAGCATGTTAAATAAGCATAACATCATTTGGATGTTGGATGAATATGATTATGAGGATTAATTACTAATTAATTACTAGTATAGTATAGTCTAGTGTAGTGTAGTGTAGTGTAGTGTAGTATAGTATAGTATAGTATGGTATGATATGGTATGGTATGGTATGGTATGGTATGGTATAGTATAGTATAGTACAGTGCAGTACAGTACAGTACAGTATCATTGCAAATGTACATGTGCTATTAGTGGATCACATGAGACATGGAGAAGTATGTGATTCACTGATACAAAAGATGATACATCTGAGCTGTTATGATCATTATGATAATTATGTGTTTTTTTTATACCTTTAAAGGATAAACATGTTGAGATTGTTGGAGCTAATTTGTATAAGGTGAGAAGGTTATTATAGGGATTAGGTGCCTGAAAGTGTACAAATATTATGTCCCATTTCTGGATACATACATTTTGTTAAAATGACTTGGACTTCTGTGGTTATACAAATTTGAAATTATGCATACAGTAGTCCCCCTCTTGATTGGTACCCTGACCAGTGGCCACCCTCATCTTATAGTCAGAATCCCTTGGCACCAATGAGTGTGTTCAAAAGTACCCCTCAAGAATGGGCACCCCTCTAATGCAACCAGTGGCCAGCATATTAGTACAAAAAATGTAAAATATTCCCCTCCCAAGCAGGTACTTTTTATTTCAAATGTGTCCAGAACCAATAATTAATTCTTATAATGTCCTAAGGTAAGTAAACAGAGACCTTGATACATGTATCCCAATGTCAAGTTTCTGTTACTGAAAGAAGTTTTGACTAAAGTGCATGTAACACTAAGATTAATGTTTATAAAAGCCAACCTTTACAGAAAATGGGCTCAACAATGTTATGATAGGGTTCTGGGCTTCACACATCTGTCCAGTTTTTCTCTTTGATGATTACAGCCATTCCTAAATGCCAAGATCATAACAGGGTCAGCAATAGGCTAAATATAGATTTTGTGCATTAGCACCCACACAGAAATGAACCTTGAACAACACATTTATTTCTTCCTTTGGGAAGAAGGCATTTCATACACTCTACAAAAGTTTTGTTTGCAGAATTAAAGCATACAGTTAGCAACATCTGAATAAATAATTACCAAACAGTAACATGTCATCATGTAAACGAAAATGTATTATGTCAGAAGAAAATCAGTTATTTTACTCTACAACATTGGGTTGTGTGGGGAGAGGTGACTTGCCAATGATTTTATGTAGATAAGACTGAAATAAAAAAATTTTATGTTGAAAAGACTCAAATAAACAATGTCCTAACCGATAAGGAGGTTATTCAGCAGCAGTGGGAAAATGAAGCAAATGGAAAGAGAATTATGTATATAACAAGATTTAAATGATGTTTTTGAATGTTTGAATGTTTTTGCATTGTGCATGACAACAAGACTCGCTCATGCTTATGCCAAGAATAGGAACTAATAATGTATATTCAGTTGAAATAAGTCTATTATTATGACAAGAAGAACTTTAATGTTACTTTGAAATGAAGATATTAAATACTTTAAGAATGTAGAAAGGTGTAAAGTAAAAGTAGCCAGGTAGATGATCCTGGCTGATAAGGAAACCCCCGGTAACTATATTTAATTTTTGGGGGGAATTTGTTAGGTTGGGCAGTCTTCATTTAATATTATAAAATAATCCAGGTCTTTTTGAACTGGTAATATGGAATTGGAAAATGCTAGTAGGTGGTACAGATGTTATAACATAGCTGGAAAATGATTAGTTGAAACTATGTAATAGGTATATAATATAATCTTGTGTCCAAATATGTTTAATCTTTGTCATATTAGTAACCGTTACATTTTGGTACCATGCATAGCAAAGCAGTGTTTTGTAAAATAATGAAGGGAGACATAGACAATTTTATATTTAATGGAAAAGAAAATGTATTTTCCCTCTTGACTGAGCTTGTTACAACTCGGTAAATCAAATGCAGGTTGGTATATAAGCTTATATCATGGTGGTCATGGACAGCTTCTATGAGAGTGAAATCTGCACATATTGATGAGTTGATTTGCATTTGAGTGGATGAGCTTGTTACCTCAATAAAGTTTATATTTCTCATCTTATTTTGATACAACTTAGTGACTAGATTAGTGTTACATT